CGTAGATTGCATCGGCTTTTGACCTCCATTCGGGTGTGAGGCTCCGCAGGATTTTCCTCACAAGATCCTTGTTGGTGTAGGTCTTTTTGAGGGCATGAAGATCATTGATTATCTTTGAGAACCGGTCGAACATGTCATCAATTTTCTCACCTTCTTTCATCCGGAACATTTCGTACTCTTGGGTGAGAAAGTCGATCTTAGCTTCGCGAACTTGATCGGTACCTTCGTACGTCACTTCAAGCTTGTCCCACATCTCCTTGGCGGTTGTGCAACAGGAGATCTTTCGGTAGTCATCGGGGTTGATCGCGCAATATAACATATTGATGACCTTTGCATAGTTTTCGACCTTCTTGATGTCCTCGGCATCAAATTCGTCTTCGGTCTTTGGGACCGTGGTTTCTCCCACTTTGTTCATAGGAATTTCTTCGCCATTTTTTATCACCAACCACAATTGGAAGTTGGTGGAACGAATATAGATTCTCATCCGTTCCTTCCAATAGGAGTAGTTGCTGCCATCAAAGAGTGGTGGCCTAGAGGTTGATTGTCCTTCTCCAATTCCTGCAGAGAGATTTCTAGAAGAAGAGCCCATGATCGCTTTACTCTCAAACGGTTAAGTTTGGACGCGAGTTAGGCTCTGATACCAATTGTTAGAATAATAGACCAACGCTAGAGGGGGGTGAATAGCGTTTGATCAAAAATCGCAGGAATAAAAAATGAATAAACGAGAAGTAAAGAGAAGAGTAAGAGGCACACCGATTTTACCCTGGTTCACCACAACTTGTGGCTAATCCAGCCTCCCGAGAGACTCTCTCGAGCTACACTACTATATCGTTAAGCTTAACGGTGCTTAACAAACCCGTACAACTTGAGAATTCGAGTCACACGAACCTCAACGAACCTTCGAAGGAAACAGCCCTTCCTTCGAGCAACAAGAGAAATACTTTCTCTTGTCAAGTGTCTAAGAACACTAAAAACACTCAAGAACAATACTCTCTTTAAGAGTGAATAATGAGTAAACTAAGAACGC